GCGGGATGAGAAACAGCCTGAAAGCACCAACCTTAGCAGAGCACACCCGGTCCTCTGCCGTGCCTGCCTGCTTGGTCCCCAGGGCCAAAGCCCTTCAGTTCAAGGTGTTCCTTCAGAGAGCATGGCATGCTGTCACCTCCCCTACAAGGTGTCTCTTGGCCAGTATGGCTGATAAGAGCACGAGAGAGGATGGGAATGTGTGTGAAGCCAGCGGGCCCTGGGAAGGGACATTTTGCTCCCAGTGTATCTTGAGCCCAGTGTGTTGCTGCTGTCCGGTCTTAGCTGTGTAGGCTGGGCCCCTACCTTCCAGGATGACACCTTCACCCTCTTTTTCACTTCTCTTCTGGAACAGAGATGTTCCTTATAACAGGCTCAGGCCTGTAATCCCAGCACTTGGAAGATGGGGACAGGAGGATTCACTTGAGATCAGCCTGGGCTACATAGCGAGACCTTGTCTCCAAAAATTAAGAAAAAGAAAAGGAGAAAAGAAAAGCCCAAAAAGTATAATATTGGATTATCAGCTTCAAATAACCTTTAGTGTGTTGTAGTTCCCCCAGCCGTCATTTCTGATTTTATTAATATAGTGGTTTTAATAAAAACAGCAGCCCCGGATGATTAGTAAGAGGGGCAACAGTAAACAAGACTAGCAATTACGGTATCTTCTCAGGGTCAGCCCTTTATTTCCATCTGTACTCTCTGGCCAGCGTCCCTCAAACCCTCCTGCTTGCTCCTATAAGATAAGGAAAACCCTTGATAATCTGATAACGCAAGCACATTCAGTGGCGCAGTGCAGGCTCTGGGGCTGAGCAAGCACCATTAACTCCACCGTTCTTCCTCTCGGCACCCGTGTGGCAGCTCTCCACAGCGAGCAGACAGATGGGTTTTTAAGAGAGCTTATGCAGAGAAGCAAGGGGCCTCAGACAGCAGGCCTCATCCATGCACGACATAGTATCCGCCCCTTTGAGTGAAAAGCTCAGTTTGCAAAAGAAATTTGATATCAGATGACCTGAGTGTCGTTCCCATTGTTATAACATTTATTTACACAGTACAAAAATCCAGATTCCCTAGTCATGGTTCAATCCATGTGCCATCGTGAATGGAAAACAAACCCCTAACTACAGATATGGCCGCTCTGAGGTCCCCATTGAGAAGCTGCACAGATGGAAAGTGGTGAAGCATTAATACTTCTTTCCTAAGACCTTGTCGCAAGCAACTGACTGCAAGGTGATGGTCAGGGTGTTTTCTCGACAAAAGGAGACACTGAGGCTGAAGCAAATCAGGTCCCCTGCTAGAAGTGCAGTCATCTCTTTCATCTATTTTGGTGGTGTACCGATGAAAGCGATTTTTATTCCTTCCCTCAAGAAGCGAAAAGAGAAGTGGGGAGGGTCTGCTGAGCTCACGCACAGCCCAGAGGAGATGCTTACAAGATAAGGAGCGGCAAGGACCAAAAGGAAGAAGTATGTACACGTGAGAATCTACATTGGCAGCTGCACAAAGTCAGGATTTGAAAGGAAGAGTTAAAAACTCCACTGCTTGCGTTTGAGAAGGAAGCCAGCAAAATGACCCAGGAAGAATAAAGCATGATGTCAGGAAGGGAGTATAACCCACTTGGCCAGAGGATCTCGGCTGCAGTGCTCAGGCCTGGAGATGCAGTAGCCATGACCACATTTGAAAACACAAAAGGAAGATTTGAAGGAAGACCTCGGAGCAGCAGGTTGTGGAGATCTTCTGTGAGCTCAGCCTAGCTAGATCCTGTGAGAGTGGCCCTCCAGAGTGATCTCCCCGCAAGGACAGAGCAGAGGCATGCCGCTCTCCTGAGCTGTGGGAGCACAGAACAGGGTTGAGACCAAACTGGGTAATGGGTTTGGTTTGGTTTTGTTTTTTTAATATTGCCATAGTACATTGAATTGAGATACTGTTCATGAAATGAAAACTACCTGAATCCCTGCTGAGTGGGAACATCTGGACTGTTGCAAAGGTTTGTTGAGGAGGAGCCAGGCCTGTAGGACAGCTTGTGTATTCAGGCCTCGGGCTGGTTGGAAGGGAGCTAGTCCCATTCCACTTGTCACCCTCAGCCAATTACAGTGTCTAACAGCCTACTTTTCTGGCAGAGCTGCTGTTGGTATGTTTCTGTTCACTTAGTTTCTGTTCTTATGCTCCCCAGACCTTTAGAGGGCTGGAGAGAGAGCCCACGAAGAGAAAGGAGGAATGGGATGGGGCCGGGTGCTGTTGGTAGGGAGGTAGCAAAACTAGGAGTGTACATCAAAGCCAAAAGTGTGGCCCTCCAGGTCCTGCCCAGTCATCATTCTGTGTCGACTGAGGTATGGCCCTGTCCCGTGGCTACAGCTACCCAGAAAGGAGGCCACCTAAGCAAATGTGACTTGTTGAATCAGGTTGTCATCTGCTATGTCCAAGTCTTGGGTGGAGCACTGGAAAAATAGGCTTGACCCAAATGGCCAGTTAAACTTTCCGCTGGCAGAGACTGAATTAAAAGTTTAAAGAAAGGAAATATTTCCATTTGAGGAGTTTGGTTTTTAATGAAATAAAACATTTACTGACATAGGATCCGCGGAATCATGGGAAAGTGGTTAATTGAATTCTGTGGTGCTGTTCTGGTGTTAGGTTAAAGCCCTGGGCTGTATTGAAGGATGGTTGTAGCTTCTCCCATGGAGGCCTGTCACACCTCTGAGCTTCAAGCCTCTAGGGATCTTTTCTCCAGTTCCAGGGGCCCCTGGCAGGTTCCAGGACAGGGGAGGTTCTTGCAGTCCCAAGTGTATAGTTCCAGGAACAACATGAAACTGAGAGTTTGAGCTGCTGAGTTGTGCAGCAAAGGATCGCTTGAGAGAATGTCAGTCCCCGTGTGTGACTACATTCTCATCCTGATCCTGTGAGCTTCCTGGGCAGCTGTCATTGGGTTCCAGCTTCTCAGCCAACCCCCACCCCACCCCTCGGGAACAGACACACATTGGAATCGGACTTTTTTTTAAAAGTCAGTGAAGCACAGCCATGTGTTATGTAACGCGGGAGGAGAGTCTGGGACAGAACCCAGGAGGAATGACGAGCCATCACGACACACATCGGGGAGGGTTTGTGGCTAAGTTCAGATCTGTTATGCTGCCAAGTGAACTACAAAAGCTTTCTGATTTCCTGAGCTTCTTGGGGTTTGGAACCGTGACGAAGGAAATGCTGTCCTCTGTCCTCTGTCCCTTACCCCCTGTCTAGAGTACCCAGGAAAGGGCTGCAAGTCCCTGTGCCTCTTCTTGCCTCCGGCTTTCCACCCTAGGTCCTGGCTCTGCAGGAGGATCTGAGCCCAGTAGCTGCAGGGCACACCCAACAGAAGGCACTCCCACACTGGGCTCTGACCTCTGACCTCTCCCAAGGCTGGTCGGACTTGAGTGAAGTTATTTGGTCATATTGAAGGTCTGCTCCAAACACGGCCAAAAGAATGCGTAGATTTTAATCACCTCCAGAAATGGTAAGGACAGAGAATAGGAAAACATCCCAAAAGAGTTTGGACAAACAAGTGACTGAAATAGCTGTCACCCTGGAAGACCCAGGATAGGCCCAGCCTCAAAGGTTAGATAAAACGAAGAGAATTACCTATCAGCCCAGAAGCCCGAGTGTTCCCTACTGGGGGAGACAGGAATCTGCTCCAGACTCAGCACCTCTGGCCGAGCGACGGGATCTCCACCAGATGGTCACCCCCCCCCCAGAGTTAAAGATGGCTGCGTGGCCTCTATGTGGGTTCCCTAGAGTGACAGTCAGAAATTAAGGGAAGATTCCAGATGACAGGCTCAGAAGGTCCTGGCACAGGGAGGGAAAAGGAAAGGAAGGAAAGAAGGCAGGCAGGCAAGGGAGAGAGTACCTGGAAGTAACTGAGAAGGGAAAGCGCGCTATTCCCTGTGCTGTCAAGAATGCCGGCACCCTGCAGGCTGCACTCTGCCTCTGCCGTCCAGCCTGAGTGCCAGCATTAGGCAGCTCCCGCAGAGAGCCGGGAAGGTCTCAGATGATAGATGGCCTGATGGAGGTCATTCAGAAGCAGAAGGCCCTGGAGACGCCGGGCCTCCCTGTCAAAGTTCCCAGCCCTCAGAGCACTATGGGGGTCACCAGGACAGAAGCCAAGCCCTGACCTCAGGCACCGTGCCCAGGACAACTATGAACCTCACAGATGGAGCTTGTAGAAGCTGCCCATAGAGGGCCTTTGCTTTCCATCCATGGTGTGTGCGTGTGTGCACGCGCACTTCATTCAGTTGTGTGTTTGTGAGGATCTATATGCGTGCAAGTGCAGAGGCGTCAGCTCCTGTGTGCACGCTGGGAACTGGACTTGGATTCTCTGCAAGAGCAGGACACCTTATTAACCACTAAGCCTTATTCCCCTATTCCTGTCTTTATCTGTTCTACTGAGATAGTCTACACAGAACAAATGTTAATTTTAAAGTGCACTCATGAGTTTTGATTAAGAGAACCTACACACTCGCTGTACTATAGCTCATGGGCCATGCCTGGATCCCAACCTGGTTTTGTTTTAAACCCATTCAGTGGCTTAAAAAAAAAAAAGAAAGAAAGAAAGAAACTTGCATGTAGCCCACACAGACAACAGACAAAAATATTTGCTGTTGGCCTTTCACAGGAAAAGCGTGGGCATTCGACACATTGCTTTCCGCACCTCTCGGCTCCCCCTGACCTTTCACCAGTGCCCCTCCCCCTCGGCAACCACTGATCTGCTTTCTGTCATGCAGTCTTCACCTTTCTAGAGTCTTACAGAAGTGAAATCATACCGTGTGTTGCCTTTTCTGCCTGCCTTCTTTCACCTGCAGCGCTTTGAGCTTCACCGCCTGGGCTCTTGCATCCGAGAGCTCTTCTCTCCTTTGTTCCATTCTTTCTGCGAGGTGTGATACCCGATGAGAAGCACTGCTTCCCCTCCCGAGAGGACGGACTCACCTTTGCGGTGAGGGCCTGAGGCCAGGAGTGCCCACTCTGACCGCCCATTGTCTTTGCAGGCATGAACAACCGGGAGGTGCTGGAGCAGGTGGAGAGAGGCTACCGGATGCCCTGCCCACAGGACTGCCCCATCTCCCTGCACGAGCTCATGATTCATTGCTGGAAGAAGGACCCAGAAGAGCGCCCCACCTTCGAGTACTTGCAGGGCTTCCTGGAGGACTACTTTACTGCCACAGAGCCCCAGTACCAGCCCGGCGAGAACCTGTGAGAGCCTGCGCTTCAGAGACCTCTCCAGAGGCCTCCCCACCCCTCCCCATTAGCTTCCGTAGCCAGCTGCCCCCAGCAGCCAGAACCGTCCGGGATCAGATTGCATGTGACCGAAGCTGACGAACTTCCACGGCCCTCATTAATGACACTTGTCCCCCCTGTCCGAACCTCCTCTGTGAACCATCCGAGACTGAACCGTGTTATTTCTCAGACTTGGGAATGCATTGTATCGATGTTATGTCAAAGGCCAAACCTCTGTTGAGTGTAAATAGCTGTTCCCGTGCCAACAATCCCACTGCTTTCCTTTTTTAAAAAAGAAAAAAAATGGCAAATCCTATGTGATTTTAACTCTGTCTTCACCTGATTCAACTAAAAAAAAAAAGTATTATTTTCCAAAAGTGGCCTCTTTGTCTAAAACAATAAAATTTTTTTTCATGTTTTAACAAAAAAAAAAAAAACAAAAACAAAAAAACAAAACATCAGGACAGGTGTTCGGGTTTTTTTTTCTTTTTTATACATATGAATATATATATATATATCTATAAAAACATACGTCCCTGTACATACACCGTGTGGGTGCTACCATGGAGACTGGCCAGCCTAGGCCACGTAGCTACAGGACCAGCGTGAGGATTGCTACAGAAACCTGCCATCAAAGCACTGGGGTCATTCTGAAAGCCTGTGGCCCCATTTTTTTTTTTTTTAACTTCTACAAAGCATGATTTTTTTCCTCCCCTTTTGTTTGGATTGTGCTTTTTCAGTTCCTGATCATACCTGTAGATGGTTGTTCACGTGACTTTTTTTCTCCAGGTACCTGAGCTGAGTTCACAGGCTTTAGTACCCAATTTTTGCTCCAACGTACTGTGATTCGTTCCTGAAGTGGCGTTTCAGGAGTGAGCGCGTTTAAGCAGGCAGCCAACCAGTCCCAATCACTCGAGCTGCGAGACGGAGGCCGCACTAACTAACTCCCTGTATAAATATGAATGCTGAAGTGTTTCAAATGTTCTTTTATTTAATAAACCTTGTAACCACATTTAAATGGTCTGAACCCATAGCATTGTAGTCATGACAACCTACTAAACTTTCTCATGCAACTAAAAATTATGGGGAAGGCAAGGGGGGGGGGGTTGTGTCTGTCCCCATTGTAAAGTAAGTGTTCTAATGTCCTGTACTGCTAATGAACGACTCTCCGTATCAGGGGTCCTCCATCGATAACTATGCACTATACATTTCATGGGGGTGCACAAAAAAAAAAAGTATTACATTTTTAGTTGCTGTTTGTACCAACCTTGAATTACATATGTTTAACAACAAGTCAATTCCTATTTCTATTGAGTTTTTTTTAATACTGAATAGCAACTCTGAAGTCTTAATTCCTTTTTTTGTTAATGATTTATTTGTGGGTTTACATTTTTAAATTGTTTAACTTTCTTAATTTAGTAATTAAAAAGAGAGCATTTTACATTTGAAAAAAAAAATTTTTTTTTTGTTCATTTGTGTACATCACAGAAGGCACCCTAGGCATTCTGTGACATCTCTGTCCCCCCACCAGATGGTGAGGAGTCACCTGGTGAGTTGGGCCATCGTGCAGCGATTTCCAAATGACAGAAACACTCAGAACATCTGGAGACCCTCCCCCCATGAAAAGGCAGAGCAACCGTCTGGCAGGCTCGGGGTGTTAAAGCGAAACTGGGCAGGCCTGACCACCGTGGTTTCTCCGGCACCATCCGTAACTGGAATCGACTGTGTCTCGTTCTGTAGAGGAGACCATAGTCTTTCTCCCTCTGCTGCTACAGTGAAGTTGGGGAGCAGCAGACAGAGCTGTGGTGGAAGGGGCAGTGGGCAGCCATCCAGGCCTGGGTCTGCCACGGTACCCTGCAGGCCAGCGTGTCTGTGGAGAGGAGGTGCAGACAAGGATGAGCCCCCAGCTCCTCACACCCTAACCTGTTAAGGTTCTGAGGGCCACTGGTGCCCTATGGAGCCACCTAAGGGTAAATGTTATTGTTGCAGAGAGAACATTGATTTTTAGAAAAGATTTTTTAGCATTTAGGGGAAAACAAAAACATTTTTAAATCAAAACTTCTTATTTTGGTTATGAATACCATTGATAGAATTTCAAAGACTTATTAGGTACAATTTTTATGACATCAGACTAGTCATTAACAGATTCTAGATTTTTTTTTTTTTTAAGAGGGTTTCTCTGTGTTGCCTTGGCTGTCCTGGGCTTGCTTAGTAGACCAGGCTGGCCTCGAACTCCTAGAGATTCACCTGCCTCTGCTTTCCTGAGTGCTGGGATTATAGGAGTGCACCACTGTGGCTGTCTCTAAATTTCTTTAAATAAAGAGAATTTTTGTTTTCTATCCTCACTTCCCATTAGGTAATTATCAAATAAGAGAAATTTTGCTTTTTCACTGAAAAATCTGAAAAAAAGAAACGTTTTAAGCAGAAGTTCTTTGAGGAAAAAATAACATTTGCTTTTAATTTCATGTAACTTTTAATTTCATCAAGTGAGTTTACTGTAGAGTTTTGTATATAAAGGAAAACTAAGGACATAGGTCGGCCAGAGGGCACACTTCCAAGATCAGAGCCCTGGAACTTCCCAGAGTGTGTGTGTGCAGCGTTAAAGACTCGAAGAAGAAATGCATTCAGAAGGAAATCAGAATTGTCCAGGTTTTTCTAAGAGTCCAACTGCTTTGGAGAGCTAGCTAGCCCTAACTTGAGGTCCCCTCCAGGGAGTCTCACTCCCCACCCATAAGCCTCTGCTTCACAAGTGATGGCCCTTGGGATCAGGGACTGAAGTTGCTTACCAGAAAGCTCTCTTACTACAAAGAAAAATACCATTTACTGTTAGGCAGGTGAAAATGTTTGTTTGTTTGTTTGTTTGGGTTTCTTTGTCATCGCTGTTTCTCTTTAGTAACTCAGAAGGGGGATAGAAGTACTTACTCTCTAGCAGAGCCTCCAACTGGCTGTGGCTCAGCTCACGCTGGTTGCCTTCCCAATAAACTATTTCTGCTCTTAAAAAATCAAATAGGAAGCTGACTGGAGAAGTCGGTTTCCATAGCTCAGGAGTAAATGTCGGTGGAAAGGTTCACTCCACTCTCGCCGTACCACACACTCTGGCTGCAGGACTGAGGGAATTGTGAGGACCATGGTAGCGGTAGCGGCCAGCTCCCATGTGTCAGAGCATCAGCTCAGTGGACTTCCAAGGCCCTGCCATGGTGACAACAGGCATTTCCATGGGAAAAGTCAGGGGCAACCATGATCCCTCTAACCCTGCCACATGTGTCAAGATTTCCAGGCGCCTGGGGGAGTTTTACTCACCTGGAGACCGCAGGAACCCTTCTGTCGCTGAATCTCAGCAGCAGAGGGTTTTGTTTTTTTTTTTTTGTTTTGTTTTTTGTTTTTTGTTTTTTTTTTTTTAAGATCACCAGAACCACGAAATTTTTATCTACAGTTTCCTGTGGGGCTGGAACCGCATCTGTCATATTAATTGGAATGGCTCTTTCATGGGAAGGTAAGATTCTCAGCAGCGTGCCGAGGAGGAAAAGCACTTGCATAGCTTCCCTGCAGAAGGATGACGCCTCTTTTGTTGGCTGTGACTCGGAACAAGAAATAGCACGGGTCAGGCGTTTCCTAACAAGCTATATTTGAGTAAAATGGTATCTGGTCAATTTGTTCCGAGAGATATTTTAATAGATTCGGGTGGCTTTTGTTGGCTTTCTTCCCACTGTATGTTACGCTGTGGGATTCAGCTAGGCTAATGTCAGAAATACACTTCTGGAGGGAAGATGAAGAGGGAGGGAAGGAAGGAGATTGCCTTTGATCCTAGAGGGGGAAAAAGCAGCTCAGCATCATTATCTGTGTTTAATTTTTTTTTTAATGCTCAAATGTAGATTCTAACTCCTCAGAACGTAATGAAAAATAATGCCTTTAGTATCTCTTAAATATCAAATGAACCTTCATAACTGGTGTTTATGTCAATATTCTGAGAAGTTTTATGAGCAAAATCCAAACCATTCCTCATTTTTACACACTATGCAAAATACGCAGGGTCCCATGGGGAGGACTTGGAGACCAGGATATCCTTATTTTAAATTAAAAGTGGGAGCCTATAGGTAGGACGCTTGCCTTCCACGCCTGAGATCCTCAGTTCATTCTGACGCGTGTGCGCAAGCTCGTGCACGCACACACACACATGCACACGCACGCAATTCTAAAGGTTGAAATATAAATAAGTGGTTTTGATTTTGTAGGACCTGTCCCATGAGAACGAAATGCTTGACAAACGGCTGCTGGCCCGAACAGCCAGAACAATGCGTTCCTCTCTGGAGCCCTCAGAACTTGTGTCACTGTCACTGCATGTGTCACACCCCCAGTGTTCGGTGGCACGACTCTTCTTTCACTGGGTTTTCCGTGGCAGGCTCAGCACTCATTCCTGACATGGCCTGGCACTTTGAACGGACTCTCCTTCACCTGGAACAATGATGAGCCGCTGGCTGAGGCACAGGTGGATGGTTAGAAGGATGGTTGCCCCACACCCAGTGGGGGTGATGGTTTGCCTTCAAATGACACTCTCTTATCTAAGAGCCTGCTGAGCGTGAGGGAGGTCTGAAACGCTGCCTCAGCACCACAGTGCAGTCATCAGTCTTCAAGATAACTGCAAAGGCTCAATCTACAGCCTGAACCAGACACAGCCAGTAATGTCGCACAGTTCCCTAGGTCCCGCTCAGCATCCACAGGGACAAAGTCAGACTTCTTGGAACAGGCAAGCTGGCCGCACGGAGTGAGGTACAGTCGAAAATGCACTCAAGGGGGGTGCCCCTGGAATTTGATAACTTTATGGAAACTTGATATTCCGCTGCCTAAGATAACCTCTGTTTTTTCATATATAAAATGCTGCTTCAAACCACCCAGATGGGCAGTGTCCCCAGCCTGTGGCTTGCAGTGCCCCTGTTGCGGCTCTCATGACCAAGGTCCTTCTGGCCTATGTGAGAAGCGCTGGATGAAGTGGTGGAGACTGAACATGAGAAAGGTATCCTTGCTCCCCTCCCCCAACACACACACACACACACACACACACACACACACACACACACACACACGTGCACGCACGCTCCTGAGGCATTTCTGATTTCCTTCCCACTCAGCCAAGAACACCCTCATGGCTGAATGGGAGAAAAGGCAAGAGAAAAAGAGATAGCTTAATGAAAGGAAAAGGCAAGAAAGGACTAGAGCCTCCTGAAATAGAGGTGGGTTCAGCCTTCTTGGCCAGGATGTTGCACGTAAGAGCAGGAGGGATGGAGACAATGGGGAAGAAGCCTGCGCTGCGAGGGGAGGGACCCTGGGTCAGCGCTCTTTTGATGGAGGCAGAGATGATGGTGGTTACCCGTGAGAACTAGTTATTATCCCTTGCTTTAAACTTTGGATGAATGTTCATTGTGAGCTATACCATGTGTCCCAGAAACTCAGAGACACACAGTTCGTATTCACAGCCCAGGGAAGACAGAGACCCAGAGGGCTGGTTGCAACTAGCTCTCTATAGATGGGACTGACTGCAGGAGAGGCATCAGCTCATCAGGGGCCGGCAGGGGAGGCCTCCTGGAGGAATGCAGCCAGCCAGCGTGCAGTAGAGAGCCTTAGGTATTGTGTGATAGGAGCAGCAATGCTCCCTTTCAAGGTGACGCCTGCTTGCCGTGATTTGAACATGGAAGCTGGTCAGTAAATGGATCCAGGCAAAGCTGCACTAACTCTCAAGGACAGAGGGTAAGGTGCTTTTGATGTTTTGTTGGTGGATTAGTTGGTTTTGTGTGTGTGTGTGTGTGTGTGTGTGTGTATAAGTACATACCATAGCATGCATGTGGAGGTCAGAAGACAACCCTGAGTGTTAGTCCTTACCTGCCACCTTGTTGGAGATGCGGTGTCACTGTACACCAGGCCTGGGAGTCTCCAGAGATTCACCTGCCTCTGCCTCCCATCTTCTGCAAATGCTAGGATTACAGATGGATGCTTTTGCCTCCAAATTTACATGGGGCCTAGAGATCCAAATTCACCTTCTCATGAATGCATAGCAAGCACCTCACTCATTGAGCTACCTCTCCAGCCCGAAAAACAAATTTCCAGCCAGAATGTTGGTGCCAGGGTCTCTGCTGAAGTGCCGCTGGGAATATAGAGTACGAGAATCCAAGAATCCAAGCTGGCAAAGAGCTTCTACTAACTCAGTATTTCTCGATGGGGCATTATTCTTCTTCACCTGCTAGCCACGCCCTTTCACTTGCCGCACCACAGAACATGTAAATCCATGAAAGTTACCACCCCAAAT